CGGCGTTCCGAATAAATCCAAACGAAGTTAGTAGAAACACAGCATCTCACATGATAAAAACAAAAACCAAAAATTCAGAAAATAAAAGCAACCTCGTCCAAATATAAACCGAAAGTCACATATAGAATCTAGTAATAGAAAGGAGAACAAGTAACAGCATATGCGAAAGAGAGAGAAAAAACTAATCACGAGATCAATAAAGAAAACCATAGGACGAAGATAATTTATAAAAATTAGGAGAACTTTATGCAAGAAAAATACCAGTGAGGAGGTCCTGGTAAACCAACATCTTCGCTGAGTTACTCTTGGATAGCTCCGAACAGTTTGAAAGTATGAGTAAGAGAAACTGAGAAACAGGGAGCGACGAGGGAGCTAGGAGGGTTTGCTAAGAGATAGACCAAGAGAACTTATAAGCAAGGGTTTGGCCGAGGAGGAGGAGGAGGAGGTGCTTGAACAGAAAATTACGCTTATGGATCTCTCTTTTTCCTAAATGCCCTTACAAGTCCTGCGAGTTTTTAACTTGGATCTCTCACATTTTATTTTTGGGCCCATCATTTTCATGGGCTGGGCTACTGGACCAAGGATTTTCCGCAGACGCAACCTCTGGGCTGAAGAAGGTTTCAATGTTACCCCGGGGGGGGAGTTAACGGGGAAAAAGCTTTTTTCTTTTGAAGGGAAAAAAAAAAAGAAATTGCAGCTTATGTATTTAATTATATGATTTTGTATATTTATTATCTAATCAGTATAAGATACGCGGGCCAGATGGATATATCATATGGATTTTTTGGGTTAAAAAAAGCAGGACCTTCTATCTCTTCAGCACTGTGTGTCTGTGTTTGCATAGAAACAAGGTTGGGGCTGGGAGTTAATACTACCTCCAGGCTCTAATCCTAGATAAAAGAGCTAATTAATTAATTTTAAAAGATTAAAAAAATAAATTAAATTATTTGTAATAGAAAAGTATTGTCATTCTTAAAATATTCTTACTAATTAAGTGTATTATTGGCTATAACTACTATTGTTAAAAAAATTATTTTTGAAAAAAAATAAATAAATATAAAAGACAAAACGAATTGGGGTTTTATATTTAAAATTAAAATAAAAGTCAAACGTGATCTTACATTAAGAACCGAATGTGGCATATTTTCTGTCTGCGTTTGACTAGATTATCCTTCACGCTTTTACTTGGTTTTTGGTTAAATTTTGTTGCCTCTCTGATAGAAGCCTGGTTAGTGGGACGGTGACGCCGCTAGTTTATTTCCCAGCCAATGTATTCGAGTCTAAATTGGCGATACGTGCCCCTTCAATTTGTTAATTATCGTGTGAAGCTTTGGTAGGAGAAGAAGATGTTGTTGGCTTTACGTTCAGGCTGATGGTCGTTCTCAACATTGAATATTAATTCCCTGTTTAGAAGAATCAATCCAAAGCGTGTGATCACTGAGCGTGTGTGTGTGTGTGTGTGAAGTAAATTTCTCATAGTGATGAAAAAAATGATGGCACGGGATCACTCATGGAGTGCCTGCAAGCCCATACAATAATGAAACAGATGGCGTACTACTACCTCCGGTCCTAATTATAAGACCCAGTTGACTTATTTGAGGAGATTAAAAAAATAAGTTAAGTTAGTTATTTGTAATAAATAAGTATTGTCATTCCTAAATATCCTTGCTAATTAAGTATATTGGCTAGAACTATCATTATTAGAAGGATTATCTTGAAAAAAAATGCATAAATATGAGAGACAAAATGGATTGGAATCTTATAATTAGAACCAAACAAAAAGTCAAACGGGATCTTATAATGAAGACCGGAGGTAGTATTAATTAGTTGCCGACAAGCAGCTCCAGAAAGAGCTTATCCACCACATGCAAAAATGTACATGAAGCATTTGAAAGTCAAAGCCGTAGTTGCCGCCACGCCAAAATCAGGTACACAGCCATAACCTGAAGCTTCAGAGACTTGGACTGACTCGTGCGCAAAGTAAGCTCAAATAAAGACGGGCATTATAACAGTAAAAAAGTTGCTTCTGCAATGGCAGATGCAGCATCTGCAACCACAGCTCGTTATGTGAACAGGGAGACAGGGACAGCGCCACGCTAAGTTCTTCGCAGCATTTGGTGGTTTAATATGCTTTTTCTTGTTTTTCGGAAGAGTTTGTATCTGCATGAAACCTTGCCCACCGCCAAGTTTAGAAGGTTAAATCATGGGAGCTTAGGTTTTTATTCGAAAGGTAAACAAGATAAAATCACGTCGCAGTAAGACTGAATATAAAAATTGCTTAGATTTGATTCCACAGCTTATGGGGTGTTTGGAAAGTATGAAAAGTGCTTTTTAAAAGTATATTTTTAATAAAATGAAATAAATTCTTTCACATATTTATTTCGCATATTGTAAAAGTATTTTTAAAATCATGATTTTGATTCTATCCAAATATTCCCTTAAATGAGAAGTAGCTGAGAAAATGCATGAAAATTAAAAAAAATAAATTATAAACAGCTTTTCAATTGTAATTTACATAATATGAGGTAAGTATGTGAAAAAAATTTTATATTAATTTACATAAAACGCGTCTATATGTAATTTTAATACAAAAAGACGCTAAAGGGAGCAGAGAGGAACTAATTAAACCAATCCATCGCCATCTGCATGCCCAAACAAGCTGAGAATGCTAGTGCAATTACTATTATGATGGTGCAGCGCATTTTAAAGATGAATGGAGATTATTATATACTCCTTCGATTATTAATATGGGACATAATTAGTAAATTAATTTTGATCTTAAATATAATATTTATTTTTCATATTTATCAATTTTTTCTAAATTACCTCAATGAATACTCTCTCAACCATAATCAAGTAAATGAGGGAGGATATTAAGAAAGATGATTATGATGTTTTAGAAAAAAATATGTCATATTTCTTATAATTAACTAAATTACCTAATTTTTTTAATCTAATCAAATTAGTTAAATAGGTCCTATATTAAAAATTGGTGGAGTACATATATATTGATGTAGATAATTTATATTTTATTTTTTAAAATTATATATATTATTATAAGGAAAAACTAGATAAGACTTTTAATACGAACAAGTGGAATTAATTGAGAGATAGAGAAATAAGGGTAGTGAAAGGAAGGGGGCAGCCGATTAGATGGAGAAAGCAGCGTCGTTTGTGGATCTAAGCAGTGTCACTTGCTCATGTCTCGCGCGTCTCCCTCCCACGTGACGCCCATTCATCTCTCTCTTTCTCACTCTCTCTCTCACACATCCCAATTAAGTTTTAAGTCTCAACTGTCCCTGGAAGGAGGGGGGGGAGAAAGGTAAAAAAAAAAAAAAAAAAAAAGTCTACCTACCATCCCTGATCAAAATTAAAGCACGGGGAAATTAGCGAGTCCCACCAACCGCGGTTTGCTCTCGCCATCCCTTCTTTCCTTCTCTTCTCCCCTTTCTTTTTCGATTATCTTTTGAAAAGTAAATACTAATACTGTTTTCCATATTTTTGCTCAAAAAAAAAAATACTGTTTTCCATATTTTCACTCTTTTATTTAAAACTATAGAACCTTTTTTTTTTTGCCAGCGTTAAAATTACAGAACATTTTAATTAATTTTCAGCCAAATGAAAGACTGCCAACAACTTTAAAAACTATCCCCTTTTTCATGTCACAAGGATAACGTGATCGCATTTAAATATGAAGTTTTCATCAAATTTTAAATATTCTCTAGGAATACATTTTTTAAGAAAATCATTAGTTACTCCTTTAAAAAATAGTACTCCTCCGGTCCTTAATATAGGACCCAATTCTTGAGTTGGTTTTTGTTCTAAATATAAGATCCATTTTTCATATTTATCAATTTTCTCTAAATTACCCCTATAGATATTCTCTCAACCATAATCAAGTAAAAGAGGAAGATATGGTATTAAGAAAGATGATTATGGTGTTTTAGAAAAAATGTGTCACTTTTGTTATAATTAACTAACTTATCTAACTTCCTTAATCTAATCAAATTAGTTAAATAGATCTTATATTAAGGACCGAAGGAGTATTAAGATATCTTATATATTTTTTATTATTGAAAGAGTACGAAAATATTTTATGACGTTTCACCGACGGAGAAGGGGCTATCGCTACCACCGTCCTCTATCTCTACTGCCTACACGGTGGCTATGCTGTTATTATTCAAAATCAGTCTTGGTGCTTATTTTAGTGACAAATCTTATTTATCGTGGTAAAACATATATCATCTATATATAGTTTTAATAGTTTAAAATTAAAATTTTTAACAAATAAAAAATTATCTTAAAGGAACTAACAGTTAAACAATTACATTTATTTTAAATTATTTAATATTAAAATACCTTTTTAAAAAAGTAAAAATTTAAAAATTTAAATTTTAACTATTTATATTAAATTTAAATGATTAAGATCTTACGTTGTAAAACAGTTCTATTCAGTCGTGATCACATACTCATTCTCAAGTGGCAAGTCACTTGAGCCATTTAATTATGGGAATTTGAGATTAAAATAGAAACTACACCGATTTTAAAAGTAATTTTAATGTGTAAGAGTTTAACCCCCATTTACAATAAAATATTTTTAAAAGTATTTTTGTCTAATATTAAATACTCCTCCGGTCCTAATTATAAGACCCAATTGACTTATTTGAGGAGATTAAGGAAGTAAGTTAAGTTGGTTATTTATAATAAATAAGTGTTGTCATTCCTAAAATATCTTTGCTAATTAAGTATATTGGCTAAAACTATCATTATTAGAAGGATTATCTTGGAAAAAAATGCATAAATATAAGAGACAAAATGGATTGGGATCTTATAATTATGACCAAATAAAAAGTCAAATGAGGTCTTATAATAAGGACCGGAGGAGTACTTCTCAAATCCCCACGCACCCACCCGCATCCCCAAAAAAATATATTAAAATGAAAAAGCAATGCGATTCACGCTTCCCCAAAGTAATTACCGCAATGGCCTCGTGACTACGCTCCTTCTCCCTAGTTGGTCATCAATCTGCCCGTAAATTACAAAATGAACTTGCTCTCTCGTGTTTTTGTCAACGAAGTGATTCATACGTGGGAACCAAAAAATGGGGTACAGACAGCAATACAAGAACGTGTAACTTTAAAAAATAAATAAATAAAGGAAAGTACAGAGTTCAGCCGTGGGACCTAGTAACCCAGATCCGTGAGCGATCTTCAGTCGCCGGAATCATCGTCGCCGCCGAAGATCGAAACGCGGTTGTACAGGAGGAAAAGGATGAGGAGGAGGAAGAGGGCGACGCCGACGGGTGATCCGCTGACTCGGTGGATGGAATCGGGTTCGCCGGTGGAGAAAAGGGAGGAGATGAAAGAGCCGCGATCGGAGGAGAGGAACTGAATGGTGAGGAGGAGGATAATGGGGAGGAGGAGGAGGCCCAGGGGGCTGAGGAGCTCGGAGATGGCTTCAGTGATGGCCTCGCCTTGATCGCCAAGAAGGAAAGGGACAATGACAACAATGGCCACCACCAGTGCTAGAAGGATACCATGGGGCGCACCACCTTGTCTTTCTTCTATCATATTGGGGTGCGAGGCTTCTGATACAGATCGGACGCGAGTGCTGTTTCGTGGCGTCGGTGATATGGGGCCTTCAACTAGGTGCTTTTCTTTATGTAGATGTCAGATCTTGTAGAGAGCATTCAAAATAGGGAAAAGATGATTGTACCCCGGGGGGGGGGGGGGGGATGAAGTTGCTGAGCAAGTGCTGTGGGGATGTGAACATAAATAATATGGGTGGAAAACAGCATCGGAAGAGTGGGAGAGAGGAAGGAAGCAGATTTCAATGTGACTTGGTATGAAGGTGTGTGGAAAGTGGAAGAATGAGGGCCGGACGATGGAGCCACGGTTTGGGCTGATCCTCGCTTCAAAATGGGGGACTGGCCCGTCCACTGAAAATGCATACAGATAGGAATGTTACAATAGTAATTTATTTGTCCAATTTATACGATGGTCCATCTAATGTATAATCATCATTGCTGGTAAAAAAAATCTAATATACTCTTCCGGTCCTTATTATAAGACTCAATTTGACTTTTTATATGGTCCTAATTATAAGACCCAATCCATTTTGTTTCTTATATTTATGCATTTTTTTCCAAGATAATCCTTCTAATAATGATAGTTTTAGCCAATATACTTAATTAGCAAGGATATTTTAGGAATGACAACACTTATTTATTATAAATAACCAACTTAACTTACTTCTTTAATCTCCTCAAATAAATCAATTGGGTCTTATAATTAGGACCGGAGGAGTATAATCATTTTTAGACTTTGTTTGGGTGACATCCCAAATCATGGTTTGGAGAATAAATCACCTAAATACCAACCCAAAAACCAAAATTATGGTTTTGGAAAAAGCAAAAAAATTTTGCTTTTGGAGAAAAAAGGGAGAGTGTGAGAGCTTATAGGATATGTATCTTGTTATTTTTTTTATAAACATATTTAATCTTATATTTTATAAATATATATACATATTAATTATTTATTAATTATATTATCTTATGTATTATTAATTATGTTAATAAAAAATATATTATTAACAATTTTATTCCTTCAAATTAAAATATATCATAAAATCTATTTTTTCTGTAATTATCATATTAACTTATGTCTTTTTTTTAGTAATTTGTATATATAAAAAGTGCTTCTGATAACAACTATCCAAACACTCTCATTTCTCAAAATCACTTTTTCATAAAATCTATTCTTTCCAGAATCTATTCTTCCCAGAATCGATTCTCCAGAATCACTTTTCTAAACCACGGTTTGGTTTCATCCAAACACACCGTAATAAAGTTTGGGAAAAATTATTTTATTATCGCTTTTTGTTAAAGATACATGGTTATCATGTACTACAAAAATGCGATTAACAAAGCCTTCTATAACTGCGATCATTTATATTTTTAAAAAAAAGACAGAGAGTCTAAGCGTTCTCTTATTGATTAAAAGACAACAAACAGTAATAAACTATGACGACTCACTTTTAGTGGGGAAATTGGAATTCCAATTTTGCAAGGGTTGTGAGGTGTTTAACGTAGATCATATATGATGGGGGCATTGATGAACCAACAACGGGAGATAAAAAAAGGCTTGCATTTTCCAGTAACATAGAATTGCATATGATAGCAAACTTTTCAGCGGCAATTATTTGACCAATGTACATCAGCCATACATCTCAATGCAATGAAGAGAGTAGGAAGAGCTGCGAATGATATTTTGACATCTATTTATTATTTTTCTTGTTACTGAACTGGCCGAGCTTCTTCTGTATGTATTCGAAATCAAATTTTCTTTTTATTTGGAAAATAATGATAATTTTGGTGGCCTAAAAGAACGAAAGAAGAAAGTACATAAACCGGCTGATGCACCAATTGAGGAGGGTAAAGCTAGTCAAATGTTGAGTGAGGTACTTGTGGTGGGTAAGAGTGGATAGAATCCTTCCACGCAGTGGCCGTGTTTGGCTTCACATCGCGCAAGCACTGCCACACTGCGCTATTACACTTAAAGCCGCTGCCAAAGGCAATTTGCCACACTCTGTCCCCACCTTTCATTCTCCCCTTCGCTTCAATATAACACAGCTCGTACCAAATCGAGGATGATGAAGTGTTCCCAAACCTGTACAGAGTCATGGATGATGCTTCCACGTCCTGTTGCCTCAGCCTCAAGTTTCTCCTAACGGCTTCGATCACAGCCCTGCCCCCTGCATGTATGCAGAAATGCTCAAAAGCCTTGTTGAAATTTGGTGTGTAGATGCCTGTTCCTCTTGTTATCCTCAGTTTATTGCAAATCAAGGAAAACAGATACATGAACTGCTCCCTGTACGGGAAAGCCAAAGGACCCAGCGAAGCCATATTTGTTTTTAGCGCGTCCCCAGCCACATCGATCACCTTTTTGGATATCGACACCCCTACTTCATTCTCTGGGTCCACGTCCATGTATATGCAGCCATGAGACTGATCATTTTGTGCTTTGGTTGTTCTCACGACATGCTTTAGCCTATACTTGGCCCTGTGCTTATCTTGGACCCTGCTCGACATCAATACAGCAGCTCCTCCCATTCTGAAGAGGCAATTTGTAAGCAACATGGATGGGACTTTACCATTGTACCAATTTAGACTGAGGGGCTCTATGCTTACTATGAGGGCCAAGGAATTCCTGTGAACTCTTAACAAGTCGTTAGCCAAACTGACCGATACGAGGCCAGCACTACATCCCATGCCTGAGAGGTTGAAGCTCATGACGTTGCTCCTCATTCTGAACTCATTAACCACCATGGCACTGAGAGATGGGGTAGGGCAGAAGACGCTGCTGTTAGTGATTAGTATGTCTATGGCTTTTGGCTCGATGTTGCTTTCCTGAAGCAGCCCCGCAACGGCCGTAAACATGGTTGTTTCGGCCTCCTCAAGGGCGGAGGAGAGGGCTTTTGTTTTGGGAATGCAAGCAAGAGATGGAGAAATGCAGGTTTGCTCACTGTACCCGGATTTTTCCAGGATCTTGCACTGAAACGCGATGGAGTCCGGATCCATCTTGTCATAAACCATACTCTCTCTGAACATGGACAGGGATAGCCTATAAGAGCTGGGAGGACGATAGCAGGAATAGTCCATCAAATAAATGTCCACTTTTCTTCTGTGCACAAGGTATAAAAGCGCCAGCAGTGCAAAAGCCAATGCCATGGTTAAATGCGGGGAAGATGAGAGAAAGAGCTCTATCACAGTGTTGGCTGCTGGTGGGATAAACATTTGGACCGAGGAAGACAATACATGGAGAGCCATGTCATGAAATTTAAAGTGAATGTGCTTTTGTTTTGGGCAGCATATATGGTTGATCGGCGCTGGCATAATGAATGTCACGATTATGTGACCTGAGGTAGGAGAGAAAAGTTTGTGGGGAAAGAAAGAAAGAACAGAGAAAGGAAGTCCCCTGGGAAAAGAAAAGGGGCCAAGCACGCTATTAGTGCTTCCCCATAAAATGGTCATTACCAGCGGCACATGGTCACACGGCACTCAAGCTCAATCTCCAATCCTCGTGTTCCCTTGACGTATATCAGGCCCAGACAAAGGGATTTGGGCCAGATCATGAACCAGTGCCGGCCCATTGGTAAGGAAGCATCACAAGACACACGACGAATGAGAGGACTATTATTTAGAATTTTGAACGGTGAGGAATGAAGTGAATGACGAGAGAGAAGTGATGAGCGTGAAATCCGAGTGGTGTGATAACGAGAATATCAATTTGGGAAAAAAGAAATGGGAGGAAATGTAGGAAGGAGTAGGAAAAAGGAGAGTGGGGGTGAGGAAAGGAAGGAGCGTCATGAAGACTGGCTTGGGAGGGTGGATATATAGATATATTTATATAACTAAAGATTAAAGATGGGAGACAAGTGGGGATCCAATCCAAATTCCTATGGGCAGTGGCAGAGGATAACCATGAAGCTGATGTTGCCACTTGCATATTCGCATTATTCCCAGCGGCGGTTGTTGTCCCCCCACATAATATTATTTTCGTCAACTGTCTTCGGATCCTCCGCACCCACCCCAAAAACAGCTCATTCGTTCTCGCTCTCATTCACTGTTGGATTCACATCTAAATGTGAAATCCCAACAAGTCTCTCTAATTCTGAGGTGACATGTCCCCACACTCCCTATCAACTCCTGTTCATGCAGTTTTATTTTCAATAATAAGTTTCAAATTTAGTAAAAGGTATGATTCATTTGACAAGTTAAAATTTGAATTTGTCTTAACAAACATTTAATGTATCTTTTTTTAATGTCATCTGTAATTATTTTTTTCTTGTCATTTTTCTCTACACATTCTTTTTCATCGTTCTTCTAATTTGTTATAAAGATATATTTGAACACCAAAACATATTTCTAACATATTTATTGTTTTAAATCAATTTTAAATAATTGTTTGTTATCTGTAAATTAGCTATTTAAAATTTATAACAAATAGTATTGATTTTAATATGCCGACAATTTTTTTTTATATTTCCATGGATGTTGTACTTTTATTAATTAAAATTAAAGTTACATGTCATGCAATTAATTGTCATGCGACTTCCCTATGTGGTAATCTTATTCTTTTAATTAAAAAGTTTTATTCACAAGATTTTTAATGTATAAACTAGCTATGTTCTTTGATATATTATTCAGAATCTGATAATAAAATTACATTACTTAAAATTTGTGGCAGCTTATCATGATTATTATGATATTATATGATATAGGATATATAGGGGATCGGCAGTAGCTGACGAATTAATTTAAGAGTATGATATACCAAATGTTTTTCTGAAGCGATAACAATTGATAAGCCTTCCGTGTCCAAGGAAAAGAAATCACAAAATTATTCTTATGAAGTGTAACAATATACTCACTCCGACTCAAAATATAACCTAAACTTTATCTATTATATTTATCAAAAAACTAATTAAGATCAATTTAAATCAACAAATGTGTAAGGCATATATTTTTTTTCCTAATATATCCGTATTAATAAAAAGAATAAGTAAAAGATGTAATAAATGAATTAAAAAGGAGAGAAAATATATGGAGATAAAATTAAAAAAATCTCATTAAATACTTGGATAAAATTAAATATTATCTTAGAAAAAAACTAACCTTTTAAAAAAAATTTAACTTATATTTTAAACCGGAAGTAGTAATATTTTGAGATAATTATAGTGTTCATATTTAATTAAAGTAAAGGAAAACTGCGCCATTATAGCGGGGCGCAAAGACGCTCCCACTACACACAGAAAACCTGGCATAGTCCAAAATTAAGGTCGGTACGTGTCCGCCGCCTCACATTGCCTATAAATAACCGCAGAAACCTGGAAACCCTACTTGCACAGGGAGAGGGAGACGAGGGGCAAGGGTGGTGGATAGTGGAGGCTATTGGAACGCTGCCACCTTAGCTCTTACAATGGCTCGTTCTCTCTCTCAATCGAAGGGTATCGTCTGTCTCGTTTCCGACGCGCTTAGCTCGACTCTTCATCGGCGAGGCTATGCGGTTTCTGCATCTCCATCGCATGTCCCCCTGAACGGCGGCAGAATGGGGAAGCTCGAAGACACATCGGCCACGGCGACCAATCAGAGTTCGTCAGAGGCATCCTCTGCATGGGTTCCAGATCCCGTCACTGGTTATTACAGGCCCATCAATCACTCCCCGGAGATCGACCCGGCGGAGCTCCGACTCATGCTTTTGAACCCCAAAGTCAGGTCACCCACCCACTCCACTTGAAATCTGTTTTTTACTGGCTTCGAATGATCGATCTTTTCAACGTTATATGATACTAGTACTATTTTCTGCTGCTGCATATCTGTCACGCATGACCAAATTACAATTTTTCAACATAGAAGAGTTCTTGATTTGATTTCCATGTTAACAGTTGTATTCTCAATGCTTAAAGAATTTATTATTTTTCCCTGTTTTGGTTTTCGAAGGATTTAAATTTAATTTCCGGGCGTGGCGACGCTGCGATGGTACCATGTAGCTCCTGTGTTAAAATCTGACGATTTTACAATATCATAACTCCTCACTTGACAAGGAAATGTTGGCAACAAAAAAAATAAAAATAAAAGAACCAACTAAAACTAAAGTGGGATCGGGTCTGTCCATAATTTAGATGCAATGTCCCCAAGGGGCTGCTCGATATCTGGACATAATAAAACATTTAAAATTTAATGTTAACTAATCTTCGGCCATGACCCGTAACTATAAATTATTCGTTGTACCCAGCATCAATTATCCATGAGTCGAGTTCATTCTCCAAGCGTTCTTCATGAAAATTGACAATATTTTTTTTAAGTTAAAAAAAAACTTCTTTAAACTGATTAAAATTGCGTAAGTTCAGAGATCAACTTTTCCTTAAGATGATATATATATATATATATATATATAAAATTTTTGGGCTTTAAAACTATGAATTATCAATATACACTTCCTAAATAATGATCCCTTAAGGCTATTCAGGGGACGGGTTCCTTTTAGAAAACAAATTGTAATTTTGGGTATAGATTTTTTTATATATTATATTGTTTTTTTAATTGGGCTTATAAAAATAAAAACATTTAAAAAGTTTAATTATATAGCGTAAAATATGTAAAAACAATATTGTGAAAAAATATCACAAAAGAAATACTACATAATAATTTTATGAATTATTTTATAAAGAAAGAAGATTGGGGAAATTGCAAATAAAGACCCCCCAATATATAAAATGGCAATCAGGGACCCCCAATTTGAGAAATTGCTGCAGAGGACCCGGTCCCAATTTGCAATTATGAAATGTAAGGAAAATGGCTGAAATGCCCCTCACTCATTTGAAAAGAAAAAACCTTTCCGCGCTCTCCTCCCCCCCAAAACGCGCGGTAACTTCCTTTGTATATCCCGTCGGCCATTCTTTGCGGTGTGCTCTGTTTATTTGTGCGCAAGAGTTTGTTTCCATTTTGCGGCGATAGGAGTATTGTGTGAGAGAAGAGTGTATTTGCTGTGGGAGAGGAGAACGGAGTCGTGCTGGAATAGTGATCTATCGACATCATCAAAGGCAAGGGAGGAGGTAGAGGCATCGTGACAGTCGTGTGTGGCTATCAAAGTTAACAGCGGCATTTGGCGACAAAATCTGGTGGTAAGTTTCAAGCTTTAGTTTGTTTGTGTTCGTTGCTGCCTGTGTGATACATTAACGAGAGGGAAGGGAATGCGTTTAGGGCAGGAACGTATATATATGTTTTTTCTGTTGAATATGCTGTGACTGATTGGCGAAAAATGGTTATCTGTGGAAGAAGATGGGCGAATGGGTTTGGGTGGGAAGGGAATTAGAAGATCAGTTAGGAGGATGACAAGATTAGTTTGGGAAATGACGACACTTGAATGGGTAAAGGGCAAATTGAATTGGTTAACTATTAATTGATCTGAAGAGATGTTGAAGTGATAGTGTCGTTTAAAATGACAAAATTGAAGTAGGGGGATTGACAAGTTGATAATGCAAAATAAGAATGTGTAATTGACAAGTTGGTAATAGAAAATAACAAGTTGAATATAATGAATAACAAGTTATTGAGCAGTTGGGAATAAGAAGGTTGCCATGGGTTCCTAACAAGTTAACAATAGGAAATGACAAGTTTAAAAATGACAATAAGAAGTTGGGAATAAGAAAGGCGATTATGACAAATGGAGAACTTTATAATGTAAAATAACTAGTTGATAATTATAAATGACAAGTTAATGATGAGAAATAACAAGCATGAGAAGTAGTTGAGACTAACAAGTTTACTTTGAGAAATTAACAACTTGCTTATATGAAATTACAAGTTCATGTTTCGAAATAAGAAGTAAATGGTGGTGATGTAAGAAGGCTGTTGGTTACAGAATAGGTTGTTAACAGAGGTGATAGTTAGTTAGTAAATGTGGTTGTGAAGGATTGTATGTTGAATATTTTGCAGGAAGAGGAAGATGGCATCAGAAGGAGCCTCTGGATCAAAAAAGGCACACAACGGTTGGGTGTTATTCAGAAGTGAGTTTATGGCCACAATAGCTGACCCTGACATGACAGCCAAACAAAAAAGAGATGCTGCGTCAAATGCATGGAAAGCTCTGGCCGCTGAAGAGAAGATGAGGTACACCGAGGAGGTGAAGAAAAGAAGGGCACAAAAGGGAGAAGAGGAGAAAAAGAAACATGTCCCATCATTTCTAACCCGGGTGTCCCTGAAGGGATTAAGAAAATTACTGCACTTTGTGAACAATAATGAAGACTTAAGGGAGAGGGTTGAGAGGATGGGCTTCGGGAGGCTGTTGAAGGTTGGATTAAAGAGACTACCCCGTGATCTCATTGTGACCATGCTGAGATCATATGACCCGCCAACGCATCAATTTACAATCAGGGGCAAATCAGAGGAAATAGGAGCAGAAGATGTTGAGCAACTGCTAGGAATCCGTCACGGTGGGGAGGAGGTGAAAACTAAAGTTGATGAGAGTGATGCTACGTATCAGGAGTTGAGAAATGAATATCGGAAAGTGTCATTCAGCAAAATACTAAACGACATTGTTTCAGGGGAGGAGGATCACAGATTCGAGTTTTTATTTGTGCTATACACCCTGGGTACTTTTCTATGTCCGAATTCAAGCTCAGAAGTGAGTGAGAAGTTGGTTAGAGTCATGCGCTGCACAATGGATGACTTTGGAAAGTATGATTGGGCTACCTATATTATAAAGGACCTCTGGAAAGAAATGGGAGACTATGTCAAAGGGTACAGGCGGGGCAATGAAGGGCAGGGGAGTAGCACTGTTGGTGGCTGCATATACTTACTTCTGGTATGACTATTTTATTTGTCATTGTGTTTGCATTTGATTACCGATGTGCATAACGTTAATGTTGTATATATGTGGCTGGCTTGCAGCTTTTTTTTGGTGAGAATTTTAACCTAAACACGCCTGTTGGCCGAGAGTCCACTACTGCAATTGAATACTGGACTGATGAGAAAATAAAAGAATTGGCCAGCAAGGAGAGGAAGAGTGTTAGGGGAATTATGTATGGAGGAAAAGGCAGTGAAGCTGTGACAGGGAAAGAAGAGAGGATAATTGTAGAGTTTTTGGACCCGGTATGTGGTATAATTGGTAAACTAAAGTTTTTATTTCGTAACCTGAACTTGTTATCTGCCATAGTATTGTTGTCATTTCCTATACTGAAGTTCTGATTTGCTATAGTGACATAGAGCTTTGTCATTGTTAAGTTGTAATTTGGCAAACTTAAGTTGTTATTCGCAATACTTATGCTGTGATTGGCCATATTGAACTTATCAATAGGTAGACTGACTTGTGATTTTGTATATTGAACTTGTCATTCGGTATAATGAACTTGTCATCTGCGATACGTGAGTTGTGATATGGTTTACTGAACTTGTCATTCGGTATAATGAACTTGTCATTTGCCATACGTGAGTTGTGATATGATTTACTGAACTTGTAATTCTGTATAATGAACTTGTGATCTGCCATACCTGAATTGTAATCTGGTTTACTGAGGTTGTCATTCGGTATAATAAACTTGTGATCTGCCATACCTAAGTTGTTATTTTGTTTATTGAACTTGTAATTCTGTATAATGAACTTGTGATCTGCCATACCTGAATTGTAATCTGGTTTACTGAGGTTGTCATTCGGTATAATAAACTTGTGATCTGCCATACCTAAGTTGTTATTTTGTTTATTGAACTTGTAATTCTGTATAATGAACTTGTGATCTGCCATACCTGAATTGTAATCTGGTTTACTGAGGTTGTCATTCGGTACAATAAACTTGTGATCTGCCATATCTAAGTTGTGATTTTGTTTACTAAACTTGTAATTCTATATAATGAACTTGTGATCTGCCATACCTGAATTGTAATCTGGTTTACTGAACTTGTCAATATGTCATAGTGAAGGTGTCATTTTCCATAGTGAACTTGTTGTTGTATATACTTACTTGATTAATGTCTTTTACATGCAGGAGCTGAAGAAGTTACGTGAGCGCCTAATGAAGAGGATAGAGGAAGGGCAAAAGATGCTAATGAAAATGGTGGATGAGGAGTTGGTGAAGGTGCAAATCCCAAGACAGGGAGATGGTGGGAAGGGTAAATCAAGAGGAAAGGCTCGGGTTGAGACAGTGCCTACAAATAGAAGTGACTCTGAAGATGATGAGGAGGAGAGGCGCAACAATGATGACACAACTGAGGAAAAGGAGAAGGATGAAGTAAGCAGTGAAGATGGAGACAGTCATGGGAAGGGCGACACAGAGAATGACAGCGACAATGAAGAGATGGAGGAAGAGGGTCAAGGGGATGGTGATGACAGGAGCGAAGGGGAGAGGGAATACAAGGGTGATGCAGAGGGTGACATACCTGCAGCCAGTCCCCCTAGGGAAGTGTCACCCACCATTGAAGGTGATGAGGGTGACATACCTGCAGCCAGTCCCCCTAGGGAAGTGTCACCCACCATTGAAGGTGATGAGGCAGAAGGTCACTCACCGATGGAGGTATCCCCCCTGGCCATTGTTGAATATGTTGGGCCTGATCCAGAACCTGTATCTGTGGAGGCACAACAACTAAGGAGATCTACTAGGGTTCGGTTCAGCAAGATCAAGTCTCCTTGGTTGGAGTTGAAGGCACAATCAAGAGTGAAGAGGCCTATGGAGCCCAAGGATATTTTGTTCAACTTAGTCAGCCGAGCTGTCAAAGGTGATGAGGGTGAGATGTAAGTGAAAATCTTTGCTTATGTGATCTTATTTGTTGACTACATGTTAACATAACACATCTAGTAACTCACTTGAATATGTTTCAGTCCTTTGATCAGAATGTTTGATGAAGACATCCCCCGACGATTGCTGCATTCGCTTGGTGGAAATAACAGGGTGAGTAACCGAGTGATGTCGTTGGTCTGTAAGGCTTTGGTGCAAGAGCAGCAGGCAGTTGAAGGCCGAGTTAAGAGGCATATATTTGATGCAGACTTCATGGTGATGTTTCTGTATTACTAATAGGCTTTGTTGATTTACAAGATTGGAAATGAAAATGACAGAATAAAGTGTGTTACAGTGAATAAGAACTTGGTTTTCTGCATTTCACAGGCCATAATGACCCGTGATCCAGCTCGTTGGGATCCTAACCAGCATGCACGACAAATACTTCCGCATTATGTTGGCTACAACATAGGTGACTGTGACTTGATTCTGGGTCCTGCTCTAGTTGGGGAGCATTGGTTCTGTTTTGCATTCGAACCAAAGACCCAGAAGTTTAATGTCCTTGATTCCATGCGAGCAAGTTTACAGCGTAAGAAGACCACCTCCAAGCAGAAGAAGGCAGCCACATATGACCCCCAAGAAATGGCCATCACCGGATGTGTAAGATGTTACTGACCTGTGCATGTTAGATAGGGAAATGACAGTTTTATATTGTTATCCTTTTGATGAATATGGCATATGTGCAGAGGGATCGGTTTGAAGACATACTTCACATGGTCAGACCAGATTTTAGTGATAACTTGGAAATTGTCTGGCCTGATGTACCACAGCAGAAAAATTTGTGAGTGTATACACCCTACTCATGTGATATGTTATTTGGCTGTGTTGGTTTGAGGAGCTGAAACTGTTAGGGTGGTGTTGTGGGCAGGAGGGACTGTGGTGTGCATGTGCTCATATGGCTCAAGAAATGGGAGCCTGATGTTTCCCTTGAATATACCGAGGTATTGACATTACCTTATTTATTGTGCAATCAAGAGTGACCACGTGTGACTTGTTTGGTGGTAAACTTGCTGTGCAGGCTGATGTGTCCTCTTTTCGGCGCGAGCTGATGTGGTGGCTGGTGAACCATGATGACAATGAATGCCGTCAGAATGTGTATGATCTTATCTCACAACCAGAGAAGGGCCGAATGACCAAGAAGAGGAGAACGTCTTTATAGAGAGCATTTAAATTAGGCTGTGACTTTTACTAACTTTGTCAATTGATTCATTTGTTGAAATTGTATGCCAATTATTGTAATGGTTATGATATGCTTGGATTGATGGTATAACAGCACTTATATTTGGAATGACAAATTTCCCTTTAGTCAGGCCAAATGGCCAATGACAAGTTTAGTACAGGTAACGACAAGTTCATTATGGCCAATGACAACTTGTGAAAAGGTTTCATACAAATTTGTGATTCTGTATTAAAGGTGGCTAAATTTGCACATTGATTCACGGAATGAGAGGTTGACAAAGGAAAATGACAAGTTGACAATGCCAAATCACTGGTTCCCAAGATGTTTTCATGTAAGGGAAAATTTCTATTCCAATTAGTGGAATTCCACTTATGACAATCACAGAATGACAGGTTCACTAACGAAATTGACAAGTTGACTAGTGAAACTTACAAGTTCCCATAAGGTTTTCGTGAAACCGAGATTTTCCGTTGAGATGAGTGGATTCCCACTTATGATAATCACGGAATGACAAGTTCACTAAGGAAAGTGACAAGTTCACTAGCGAAAGTTACAAGTTCGAATAATGTTTTCATGAAACGACTGGATTTTCACTACTGGTAAACGCAAGGTTACAACTTCAGAAAGGGAAATGACAAGTTTATTATGGAAAATGACAATTTCCCAGAAGGTTTTAATACATTTTCATACTTTTGAAGACAATGATTACATTGCACATTTCTGACAGCAACCACTTCTGATAAACACGGAATGACAACTTCATATTGCCAAATGACAACTTTACTATGGCACATGACAAGTTCCTATATGGTTTTGACACATTTCGTTTTCTGACAGCAACCACTTCTGATAAACACGGAATGACAACTTCATATTGCCAAATGACAACTTTACTATGCCAAATGACAAGTTCCTATAAGGTTTTGACACATTTCGTTTTCTGACAGCAACCACTTCTGATAAACACGGAATGACAACTTCATATTGCCAAATGACAACTTTACTATGGCACATGACAAGTTCCTATATGGTTTTGACACATTTCGTTTTCTGACAGCAACCACTTCTGATAAACACGGAATGACAACTTCATATTGCCAAATGACAACTTTACTATGGCACATGACAAGTTCCTATATGGTTTTGACACATTTCGTTTTCTGACAGCAACCACTTCTGATAAACACGGAATGACAACTTCATATTGCCAAATGACAACTTTACTATGCCAAATGACAAGTTCCTATAAGGTTTTGACACATTTCGTTTTCTGACAGCAACCACTTCTGATAAACACGGAATGACAACTTCATATTGCCAAATGACAACTTTACTATGCCAAATGACAAGTTCCTATAAGGTTTTGACACATTTCGTTTTCTGACAGCAACCACTTCTGATAAACACGGAATTACACATTTCTGACAGCAACCACTTCTGATGAACATGAAATTACAAGTGCACAAAAGCAAATGACAACTTAACTATGCAAAATAACAAGAAGTGACAAGTTCTGATTTCTTTGACAGCAACAAGTTCTTTACAACATTCAATGACAAGTGCACATTAACTTACATCTTCCACTTAATGTCCCTTTGTCCCAAACATAGAAGTAACAAAAATATATGTGCACATCTACTAACATCCTGCTCCCAAAAAAATTAAGAAGGATGAACCCTATATGTGCCAAAAAAATTAGTTGTCCCATTTGTAAGTGGAAGTCAACTTGGGTTAGGATTTTTGCATGTCCTCTTTGTATGTCCAGGATGAAGACATCTAGTGCAATGATATATTTTTTTGTTGTGGAATTGTGATTCCTTTCTATTTCTTCTTGGTCTTCCAGAAGGCCTAGCAGTGACTGGGGGTAAAAGCAAGGGTTGAGCAGTAAGATTCTCAAACGTATAGTCATTCAGGTGAGGCATATCAATTGTCACCACTGGAACCATGCTCCGGGCATAGATTTTTTCTTGGGATGAACGTTTGTAACACTCTTCAACATAATCATAAACGTTTCCCCCTATGGTCTTAATGGCTGCACAAGCATGTGAGCATGGAATCCCTAACATTTGCCAAGTTCCACAGCTACATTTGTGTAGGCCAAGGTCCACTCTTTGGTCTCCACGTGATGTGTGCACGCATATTCTTCCCCCTCCATAATTCTCACAGTGCATGTACCTACCGAAATACACATGCTCCAATACTTTTGCCTCTATTTTTGGCCCAACGCAATTACTCCACTTAGTCATTGCTGCATATGATGCATGCATCTTTCTTGCTACTTTCTCCCGGTGCTCATGGATCATTTGGGCCACGTTATGCTTCCTCTCCCTTACCATCCAAGCATTAAAAGATTCAGCTAAATTAGTTGTTATGTTGTCCCACCTTCTATATGGGAACTTGCTCAATGCCCACCTATCCACATCACCTTGATTGATAACCCACTCATATAACTCATGAGACATGGTTCTGAGATCATCCAGCGCATGATCAAACTCATCCGCAAGTCTTGCATAAGCCACTTTATCCAGTACCTTTAATGCATCTTCCTTTGAATTTTCACTTGTCCTTCTCCGACCTCTGTTTACTTTCATATATTCAGAGCTAAAGTTCTCCTTCACATGCCTATAACAGTATGCATGCCTTTCACCCCCAAATATTGCTTGCACAGCACCAATTATAGAATTATGTCTATCTGACACAATAGTCAGTTGCATTGAACCAACAATTTGTTTAATCTTGTGAAAAAACCACGTCCAGTCATCAAGATTCTCTCCCTTCACCACTGCTATTGCAAACGGCAACATCTCATTATCCGCATCATATGCCGAAGCTGACAGTAATGTCCCCTTATATGGACCACTTAAATGAGTACCGTCAACATATAATATAGGCCTTGCACCGTTCAAAAAACCCTCAACACATGCACCGTATGCAATGAACACACGCTCAAATCTATTACCAATGGAGGCCCATTCAGCAACCGTTTTGTCATCAGTTTCCTTCAACCTTTCACATAACCATGGTATTAACATATAGGACTGTTCCGGTTTCCCATGTATTTCTTCCATTGCCTTTTCCTTTGCTCTATATGCCTGACAATATGTAAGCCTCACACCATACTCCCTCTCCAACATCTTCCTTATCTCAGTGGGCCGTTTTTCAGCATGGTCCCTTATCTCTTCAACTATTACTGATGATGTCAACGCAGCACTCCCACCATAAGTCACAATCAAATTGTCTTGGGCTGAATGAATGTGCTTATTGCAAAATGTAGTCACACGTAATAGATGACTGTTCTTTCCAACAGCATTTGCACATATCTTCCAAGGACACCCTTCTACTTTACACCTCACATTCATCTTCTCCTTACTATTCCTGATATATCTTGCTGCAAACTTCTCTGCAATACTGAACCTGTACACAGCTTCCCTAAAAGCAACAGCATGTGGAACATATTGGCCCACTCCTACAAACACTCCTGCCCATTTCGTACAATTCATCTCGCCCGTCAGTCTTCCCTGACTCTCTGAACCACTACACTTGCTTCTCTGACTTGATCCGCCTCCTTCAAAAGTTAGGCATTCAACTCCATTCTCAACATTCACTGGCTCATGTTCATCACCAATGGTCGTTTCAAATGTATTCATATCTTGTGAAAGTCCAAATAAATTCTCACTCCTGCCACCATAATACCAAGTTAGGACAGCTATATTCAAACGACAGGTTTGAATAAAATAACATGTCTACATATCTAAATAACAAGTCCGCATATGGTTATTACAACTTTACTAACTAAAATAACAAGTCTACATCTACAAACAATTCCTTGCTCAATTAACAAGTCCGTAAGAGGTAATTACAACTTGAGTTACTCATATAACAAGTTTCCATATAGAAACTACTGGTTAGTAAAATAACATCTACAGATCTAAATAACAAGTCCGTATATGATAATTATAACTTCAATACGTTGAATTACAAGTCTACATATGGAAATCTCTGCTTATGTCTAATAACAAGTCTGCATTTCTAAAACACAAGTTTACAAATGGAAATGACATGTCCACTATGTTCAATAACATGCTTGCATTTACTAATTACAATTTAGGACTGCAGCACCATTAGCTTCATTACAATATTTCTATACGAATTACCAACAATATATTAGTAAATAACAAGATTCAATTGGAAAACATAACCACTTACACGTCTGGATCATTCCTTGCTCTACGTTCCCTATCATTCCCTTTCCCTCCTACATACACATGACCACTGCTGTCATTATATCTAAACAAGTTGCTGATATCACCATCATCACAAAGATCAATCAATGTACTCTCATCAAATTTAACTTTATACTTAATCTCATATCCACCACCATCATTGCCTATCCACTGTGAAATTATTCCACACAACTCGTCTACTGTTATCCATTCTTTTATACTGGTTACCCTTACACTCCCTCCAATATATTTAACTATCCCTTCACCATTTGCTTCAAAATGTCCACCAATGTGCACGTAACAGAACAACTCCTTCCCACAGCTTCTTCGGTTATTGAAATCCATTTTTCATACTAATCTGCAGCAAAAATTTACGTTTAGTCAGTACGTTAGCTTCACTAATAAATATTTACTCATTTATTCCATCGACTCAACCATTTACATACCAAATTAAAAACCCGTGACCTCCTGTCTTCCCAACATCACTTTAGGCCTTCACAACTTCACTTTAGGGCTTCACAACTTCACTTTAGGGCTTGACGACTTCAACACCGAAAATCATGGTATCGTCATTCCCTCATTCCGCGGCAACACCTCAACGTTCACGGTCAAACTAACGGCCATTATCCAACCTACACTCTGCCAAACCACTACACTCTGACCCCTTCCCCATCGCAACCAGCACCGTGCACTACAAATGACAGATGACCGTTCAGACTACGAAAACAAAAATATCCCACCTCCAACTAACCACAACCTCCTACATTGTCATATCTTTCATCTTCAACTACACCTCCCATTCCCTCCCTTCCTCCAGCCTACTCACCCACACAGCAGAGATGAAGATGGAGAATGTGACGATGTGTAACTCTTACAGGGAACAATACAAGAAGGGTTTACTCAGTAAGTTAGTCGCATTATTGCCAATGTTCGAAGATCCCAATATCGCACATATTCGTTCGGCTCATCCTACTCCACCAGCTCTCCCGCCACCCAAATCCTGGTCTCTGCCTTCATTAACAGTCATGATGAGTGAGGGGCATTTCAGCCATTTTCCTTACATTTCATAATTGCAAATTGGGACCGGGTCCTCTGCAGCAATTTCTCAAATTGGGGGTCCCTGATTGCTATTTTATATATTGGGGGGTCTTTATTTGCAATTTTCCCAAGAAGATTTTATTGAGATAAAACCGTAACTTATGAGCAGAAAATTACTATAAAAAATAGGGAAAATTGTAAAAAAAGACCTTGGAATTGTAAAAACGCAGATAGGGACCCTTGACAACTTCACTTTAGGTTTTGACAAGAATAATATGCCCTGAAGTTGTCAAAACCCAAAGTGAAGTTGTCAAGGGTCCCTATCTGCGTTTTTGCAATTCAAAGGTCTTTTTTTGCAATTTCCCCTAAAAAATACTTATTATTAACAAGTAAATTGAATAATAATTATTAATAAATAATTTTTTTTTCAAAAAATATCTTGGGATTGGGCAGGACAACCCGTCCCCGTTACTGTTTTGTTTAATGACTGGAAGGGAACAAGTTAAACACTTTCTGCCCCCACATTTGGGCTGACATTGATGCCCACAATCTGATTCCGGGAAACTTCTTGTATAGGCGGAGGCCTGGCTATTTAAGATGCTAGAGAAGGAAAACACGAGGAAAGTAATGGACCATGGGCCGCAAAAATAGTCCCGATCGGTCTCAACGTAAGAGGAAGCCCGTTAGCCCATGCATCTCTAATATTTCCTTTTTATATGCCTGACTTTATTAATTATTAATATCACCATCAAGATGAAAAGCATATTGGATTTATTTCAAGCTATGATCTCATAGAAATGCAGGGGAAAGGGTGCTGTTTTAACAGTGTTTCATGAGCAAAAACAGTTGGAAAGGCGCTGCTGTTTTTCTTCCTTTTTTACCCCTTTTTTTGGGGAATAAGAAGGCAAGCTAAGCTTGAACAAAACAGCCATGTTCCATCTCGAAAACAGGTTTCCTAATAGTTTGAGGGAGGGTTTGGATGAAACTCAAATTATGATTTAAAAAGTAATTTTACGGTATATAAAATAAATAAATAAAAAAATTTATCTCGATTTAAAAAAAATATTTTTTTCCAAGTACCAGATACTTCCCAATACTACCACTTAGACGCCGATGCACCATTTCAGCGAACAGGGGTCATGACTGTGGAGATGGTAGGCAGCAGCCGCAGAGCAGGATTGAGAATCGAATAAAGCTGCACATTGGGCAGCAGAAACTGACTCCCTGAGTCCCCCCTCTAAGCTATGCTATTCCTCACCCTTTTCCCCTCTCTCCGTTGCTCCGCTTGCTCATGGCTCTCTGAGTAGGTGAAAAGGGTGGCAAAACAAAAAACAAAACAAGTGTGGAACATTTATTGCATAAATCATAGGAGTGGTGCTGGGTTGCGGTTAGGAAATGGATTATTTTAGTTCTGATATTGGTAGATCAATATCATTCTCTCAGTTTCTAAAACTTAGCCTTATTTTAGTTCTTTGAAATTTAATATAATTTTGATCTACTTAAAGATTTTTAATTATTTAAACATTGTTCTGGGTCATTGAAACGTTGTTTTAAGACATTCAATTTGAGGAATTAAATATAAATATCCATTGAAATTGCACATACAATAATTAAATACGAAATGATCGCCCTACCAAGTGAACCGCATGCTAGCGATCTGTACGGTAAATTTGTGGTAGCAAACGTCGCAGATAAATAGATTTGGGTGACAGTGCTCATCGAAACTGTTCAGAAGGTGGAACCATTAATTATCACCCCAACCTAACCATCCTGTCTTCAGGCGCAGCCTTCCTCCCTCCTTCCTTCCTTCCTAACCACTCCTGTCACTCATCTCCATCCATCATTCTTCTTTTGTTCTCTTCTTCGTTTTTCCACCCTTATCATATCATGACAATTAATCAGCACTATAATATCTACAGCAATACTATTTTAAAGTTTTAAATAATACTCTTTCCATCTTAAAATTTTTGTTTAGCTAAGGTCTAAGCTTAAGGCACAGCCAAAAAAAACAATAAACTCAACCTAATTTTATATTAAAATACAATTTATACTCTTCTTGTTACCATAAATTTTTTTCTCCTCATTAATAAAACGCTTTTCTCAATTAATCACAAAACAATTCTTCATTAGTAGATCCCCTCCACCCTAGACTTTTCTTGAGGATTGATAATTAAAAAAATAGTAAAAACAGATTACTGAAATAAAAAAATCACAAATTAAAACCCATGACAATATTAGCATAAGTTTTGATAATAATAGTACGAGTTTTGATAATAATTTTTATAATCAAGTTTGTGTACAATTTTTCTATTTTAAATGTCTTTTTTTGTGATTTTTTCATGATAATAATTTGTTGACACATTCACTTTCAAAAACTCTGCAACGATGTCATAAGGGTGCAGGGTAAAAATTGAGAACGAAGAAAAGCATAGAACTTAGATGCATGTGGTTGACAAAACGACAACATACAGCTAGCTTTGTATGCAAAACAGAGGAGATGGATGAGTCAAAGGAAAAAGCGTCTTAAAAAATCACGAAGAACCGCAAGAAGGCGGATCCTATAAGGTTTCAATATTAAATGCAATGCAGTAGCAAGATCCTATCATTGAAAGCCATCCAGGGGACCACCTTACCTCCAACCATGTTCTCTTTGACCATCCAGTCCTATTGTTTTCACTTTTGTTAAAATTACACCAACCATCCCCCATTCCATGTGGCCTTCAACATAACGTTCCCAATTGTATCTCTCATGTCTGCATCTTCTCTTCTCCTACGCCCGCACCCAAACAAGCATGTGTGCGCATGTGATCTCTCATTGTACTCACATTCAACTTTGACTCCACACTGATCAATTCCACTCCCCAACACCGCACCCCAGACAATGATAATACGGACCAGGATTCAGTGCGAGAAGCAGATCCTCGCAGCGAGTGCGTCCAGACACGTGTCGTGGCGAGACGCGTAAGATTCGATTAACGGTGCAAAGCTAAGCAGGTGACAGATCACTGATCAGTGAGGTGACCGAAATCTCTCCCCCAAGAGCCTGATAATGCAGCCAGGGTCACAGTAAAGTAGAACCACAGCACATTGACACTAGCGAATGTATTGGGAGTTTTCTTTTCTTCTGTTTGCCTTTCTCTGAATCTAGACCCTTCACACAGCGCCATACTCAGCTTTCATAACATGAATATCAACAATAAGATGTGACTGTCCAGCGAATATTACATTCCAAAGAAACTCAAAATGATTCATGGACAAGATGAACAAAGGAGTAAAAAAGCAGAGTAATTTGTATTATTTAAATAAGATCCCCCTCCATTTCCTGTATTTTGTTGTTTCCTTTTCGTGTGTGATCTCCCCTACGTTTCAAACCCCGACGGCAAGCAGTGAAGGAATATCGGACAAATTTGGTTTTGGCGTCGTGGCATTCTTGTGATCAGAAGCATCCCTGATGATATCCCTCTTGCTTTTGGTACTGAACGCTCTCATGGGACTCGCAAATGCCCAGCCCCAACTTCTTGCTCGCCCATGGGAGATGGCCACAGCCGCTGATTTCCCATTCCCATGATCATCCGCAGAGGATGACACCCAGTACGAGGAAGATGACGACGACGAAGACGACGAAGTCATCATGAGCCCACTGAATATGCCAGCACATTTCACTCTTTCCTTCATGCACGGATGGTGGTGGTGGTTGACGACGGAGGAGGCAGCCATGGCCCTCGACTTACCTTCGCGTTGGGATTCCACCCTCCGGAGAGTGCAGTCTCCAAACCCGGTGGAGATTCTCTCGAAGAAGTCGCCAGAGAAGCTTCTGCTGCCACACCCGACAGATCTGGATCTCGAGACCTTGCGCTCAAAGGATGAAGCAGAGGCTGTGGTTTGGCTATTGGGACTGTCATCCTCTTTCCCGCCAATTTCAATCTTCCTTCCTAAATTGGAACCCAAGAACTTGTCCTTCTGCTTCACCGAACTTGAACCTGTAATAGCCGGTGTGATTGTGGAAATGCGCGGGCTGTTACGACTGTCTCTGAAGCTCTTGGCACCCGATTTTTTTGCGGGAGCAGAGGATTTAGAAGGAAGATAAAAAAAGGACCAAAACCCATTTCTTTTTCTGGGGCTGAAGTTTTCGATGACTATATCATCATCCTCCGCATCATTCAAGAACTTCCCCCTCCTGGGAGTAGCAGAGGACTTGCTTCGTTTGAATATGACATCGGAGGCAGAAGACGGCGCGGCCGACGAGGAGGAGTTCGAGGAAGCTTTCTTGTTCTTCCTGGCTAAAAGAAAAGGAAGGCGGACCCGTCGGGTGTAGTACTGGTTGTATTGAGAATCGGCAATACCATTTTTGACAGCAGAAACAGGACGAGCAGAGAAGGAGAGGGAAGAAGAGGAAGGAGCAGCACAAGCGGCAGAAGCAGGAGCCATATCGGATCTGAAGGAAGGGGAAGAAGATGATGAGGAAGAGGGACGAACGGGGAGAGGGAAAGAGGAGGAAACAAGCTTGCCAAGCTTCTCTTGAAGGCAAAAGGCGCAGATCCCTCCAGGGTTGTTTCTGTGAGGATGGTTGCTGCATTGCATTCCATCACCCATGTCGTCGTCACCGGCGCCAACTCTCCCTCCACCTCCTTTGATTCCTTCCGTGCGAATCATACCTGCAAATATTTGATTTTGATGGCAAGGCAGCTAAATTTCGCGGACGGCAGCAGATGTTTTCTCTTTTCTGCCCCAACCCCCCTGAACGCCTTTTCAGTAACAGTGAGGGAAAGAGAGGGATAGAGGGAAATGGCGTTGGAAGTGAGAGAGATGGCAGGAGTAGAGCACGTGGAAGAGAGAAGTAAGCAAGGAGAGTGTATTAAAAAGAGTGAAAGAGACAGGGGAGGGGGGGACTGAAGAGAAGGAACAGGCCGAGAAGTAAATATTATTATTATATTATTAATAATCACGGTGAGACTTGTGCAAGTGTGCAGCTCCAAACCGAGGACCCTATGAAGGACGCTTCTACTCTCAGCGTTCCCCTAGTTCCCTTTTTCTTGTATCAATGATATCTTCGCTCTCTATTTATTTTAGTCCTTTCGCACCCTTGCCTCGTTTTAACTTTTTAGTAGTTTAACTAAATTGTATTGGCTAATGTTCGTAGTCCTTACACTGTATCATGAACTGCTGTAGAGGAAGATTAAAATCGAACCAGTCATGTGCTGTCTTTTTCCTGACTGTACACGGAAGGCATGCTGGGGTTGAAACTCCAGCAAGAAATCAAAAGACAAAAAGACAAATGCGAGCAGATGATCGTGATGATCACCACCCATGGTGTTTTGGCTTTTATGCTCACTGACGAGAAGATAATAACCTGACCATAATGAGCTTTGGTGATGGGAAAGAACAAATATTGCATTATTAAGTGTCCAGCAAACTGACGAATGACGGCAAATCTTTTATTGTGTAAAAGTTCAGCTCCTTCACCGGTCACAACCCCAGAACTCCACTTCCAGTTCCACGTCTAAAATTAAAGCACCCACAATTTTTCTCTCTTTATTTTTCTCACGGATCTAGCATCTGAAAATTGATGTCAGGTCTCACCAAAGCCCTCGTCATGCGGTGAACTTCATTCGCTCAAATTATTTGGAGCCATTTTCACTGGTGGTGGAATGCCTCGCGCGCATGGGAATATTAGAAAATATGAAGAGGGGCGAAACAGGTCAGGATATGTAGAGTATCGTTATCTCATCATCACCGTCATTATTAATTGTTAGTGACATTCCGAAGCCAGCTTAACTATAAAAGGTGAAAATTTCTGTCTGTGGAGAACTGATATCTGAAAAAAGTTAACAAAAATATGGAAGGCAATTGTAGACATTTGACGGAAAGCGGGGAACATTGAAAGGAAATTTGCGTGTTTTCGCTAGCTAGGGTTCATAATCATATGATCTTTTGCACATAATCTATTTCGATGAACATTATATGTATATACACTCACACACAGACACCGTACTTTGCTCGTCGACAGATATATTCATGCATTATTTGCTGTTTTAATCTGGAATATTATATGGAGTGGGGGTCACGGCAACCTCAAATTTCTTTTAATCTGGAATATTGTTTTTTTACTTAAAAAAAAAAAAAGAAGTGCTCCAAGAAATATCCAACGCCTAAGTGGTGTGTGTGGGTGTGTATGTGCATATAAATATATATATAATCTTTGACCATAAAAAAATATAAATATATATAATCATGTTGGTGTCTGGGACAAAATATATAATGAAAATAGGGCAAGATTTGACGTAGTGATGGGAAACTGGTTTAATTAATTGCCGGAGATAATGCCAAGCTGCTATTGATCAGACGATACGTATTTTTTTAATAGAATCCAATAATTAGTAGTATAGGGAGCCAATAATTAGCATAATAAACCGAACAAGTAAGAAACATGAAAGAAATATATAATTAGCGGATGAATATGGATCGACTTTTATAATTAAAAAAGAAGCTAGAAGCGGCCTTGCCGGCAGTGGTTTGCCTGTTCCCCGTAGCAAGAAGCCAAAGTGGAATGTGGCTGGAGTTTTTTTTTTTTTTAAATAACTTTCCGTCTTTATGCGAGTCTTTTCATTTGAGAGAGCGTTCCCTGTCCTCGATGGCTGGGTGCATCGGAGTTCCTCTCCTTGTGACGGTTGCCGACTATGATGGGTTCTGGGTTTCCGACGTCAATGGAGGTGAGTTGATCCCGGCAAGATTTAGTATCTGATGACAGTGAGACCAACGGCTGGAGCGAAGACGTTCGATATTCGGAGGATGACAGGATCTGGGTATTTGGAGAGGTATGATTCACAGATTATTGGCAAGCAACTATTGATTCTACTGAGCCAAGAGCCTCAATCCTTTTATGTGATGTAATTCTTTCAAGTCTGTCTGCATATCGTTGCTTGAGGATCTGAACCGGTATGAACACATGGACGCTTTTGTTTGTGTTGGGCTAAGTTTTTCCCCTCTGTCACGATCAGTGAAGCTAATTCCTACTGTTTATTCTACGTTTTGGGCTTTTGATTGGACTGCATTGTAACTGGCTGGGTTTGTTTTCTTTTTCGGAGTTAATGAATCCTCATGTGGTGAATGACGTGAATGAATTTTGAAGCTATGGTTGGACTGAGATCGTGTTTGAAACTAATCAATCGGAAAGTTGTGTGCAAGATATCAGTGAGGGGGTTTTGAGATGGATTAGGTTCCGCCCTGTTATTGGTTGATTTGAGTGTTTTTTTTTTTTGGTAAAGGATTTGAGTGTTTTTTCCCTAATGCAAGCTATGTAATTTAATGTTTAAATTTAAAAAATAGGAGTGCCTGGCCCTGGCGTATTTTCTCTATGATATGGGTGCACTGGCACGGGCTTTTCTACGGTTAATGAATTGAAACGCTTCTTTGGCCCATAAAAGAAAAGCAGGTCAAACTAATGTTCGGGTTGAAACCCCCCCCCCCCCAAAAAAGAAAAACAAAAAACCAAAAAAGAAATCTCTAATTTCCATAATAAATTGCTCTTTGACTACTCCTCGCAATTCGCACTAGCGGCTCATTCAGTAACAAATCCGCTCCTCCCTGAGAGTCCTTTTAACTGAAAATTTTAACAATCACATCAAATTTAGCATCCACCGAATCGATGCAGCAGTAGTAGTAGTACGCAAATATAGACATGAAACATATATTAATTACAACTTAAAAAGTAAGTCTAAAAGTCGGAACCCTCTTCCGTATGATTTATTCGCATTTATTTATACGTACAAGCTCTTGTTTATATCATGAGCTATGGTCACGCGGTGGAGTGGAGAACAAAGAAGCGAGAGACGGAGAATGTGCGAGTTCAACGCGTGGAATGGGATCCTCATTTTTTCATCGTAAAGAAATTTTGTAAATTTTAAGCAGAAGAATAAATATTGAGTTTATATAATACTACTCCATTCAGAAATATGTGCGCTTGTGTGTAAGCACAGGTCCTTGAAAGATGTTTGCGTAGAGAGAAAGAAACAAGACATCGGATGTGATGCTTGGGCAATGATTTTGACGGGTAGAGATAAACAAAGGGCAGAGCAGAGAGCTCAAGGGAACACGATGCTTGAGATTGCCAGTTTGAAGTTTGAACCACAAAATGTTTCTGAGGACATTATTGGCAAGCTCACGCCCAAAATTCATTATTGGTCCCACCCCGAATTGTCATGTATTTTACTCATTTCATGGAAACCACAATCTGTTCACTCCTGAGCCTTAGAATTCACTATATTTCAGCATATTCCAGGAAACCGCTCTATATCTTCAAAGAGGTTGTGGAATACGGGGCTTTTATATTATTCACCTAAATTATTTCGTATCGGTTGGGGAAAAGAAAAAAAAAAACCTGTATCGATAGCGGGGGGAGAGCTGGTTTTAGGCGACAAGTTGAGGAGGAGAAAGTGAGAAACCTACGAAATTTACTTCTCATTTTGGTCACAGCATCCTGAGGTAAAGTTCAGAAGAAAGGCAGCATAGATTCGGCCCAACGGATCGGTTTTATTGTGTGTGGGTTTCCTTTTTTAGTGAGGAACAAACAACACTTTACCAGCCGAACGAAGAAAAACTTTATTTAAAGTCCATCGGGCCCATACTGAACAGGTCCGAATCCCTCCTCACGCATACGTATAAGACGCATGTACGTAATAGAGGCCCGGAGTGCTTCCCGAAAAGAAACAAGAAGCGCAAGGAAGAATCTTGGGCGAGTGAGCAGAGCATGGACATGAAGTCAACGAATGGCTTTTCCGCTCCTAATGTTTGGGAAAATAAACAGAATAAAACACAGAGAGGGGGGAGGGGACATGAATGATGATGAGAGAAGAGAGTGTTGTTGTTGGGAGGCTTCTTGGTCGAGCGCGGTGGGTGATTTTGGATGTCTGTAGATTGCATACGCACACCACCACCTGCTGCGTGGCTCCCCGCAAAAACCCACTTCCCTTTGGCACCTTCATCGCCCATCCATCGCTATTGTTATCGTTGTCATATACAATGTGCAAGATGATACGTATACTGATTATCGGTGATTTCGTAATTACCATATATATACTTAACCCTCAGCATGACATCGCCCACCGCTAGGATTAGCGTGCAGCACCACACACCGCCGCTTAGAAACACCGACAGCCAAAATGGCATGTTCTTCACGTTCCTCCTCCTCATCACTGCTTTCTGCACATCATTCTATTTTTCCTACCTACTTATCACTTCACTCGCCCGCTCCCCCAAGCTTTCTCGTCAAATAATTTTAACGCTCCATATTAATTATAAATTACTGCATTCACATGACATCATTATTGAAATCAACAGCACAGCAAAGATAGACGGTCCATCGTGTCTATCTATCTAATTCCAACCCTTCAATTGTATGCATCTTTGTGCGTTTCTTTTTGGCCACAATTATCCATTATCAATTGTCTGGACCCCTCTTCTTCGTCCTTTGCTCTTGTCCCCGCCTTCCTTTCTCTAGAATAGCTAGTATTTCATTTATCTTTATTTTTTTCTCCTTTTGATATTTTTACAAGCTACAATATTGAATTGGCTGGCAGATGATGTCTCCTAAAATTTCTAATGTTAACATGATGTATTTATCATAAATTTTAAGTCAAATAACTCCCAATGGATAATGGCACTGCGTATGGAGAAAAGTATTGGCGCTTCCATCGAGTGTCATGATCAATTTGCAGTATTATGGGAAAAAATTGCTAATTAACACTATAAGCGCTGACCTAGCTTATTGCGTGACGGCAAATAAAGCTAACGTTGAAGTTGAAGAAATGTCGGGAAGA